GGGTAACAATTATAGGAAACTATTTTATTTACTATTTATTTATTTATTTGTACTGAGTACTAATTTTAGAATGGTGAAATGCAATTAAAAATTTTAACACCAACACATCATTTTTTACATTAGTTTTGTAAATTCCCATAGCACATTTACAATAAGATTAAAACTTTTTTGTAAAATACATACATACATTTTTAATAGCTGTAGATAATCATATAATTTTAATTATACTACTGCATGTTCTTGGAAAGGAAAATGGCTTTCCCCCACCCAATTAAGATTTTTAACATTAAGGTTTCCAGCTTCCCCTGCTTTTCTTTACAGACTTAAGGCCTTTTTCTCCCAATCAACAGTGTGAAAAGTACTCTGAGTGTTTTCCTATATTTATTGCCATGTTTTATATAAACAGCAACTTCCAAGGTTTTCTGAGGTCTTTGTAGTCTTTCCCCTTACTCTTCATTCCATATGGACAGATTCTAAATAAGTGAACAATTACAAATTTCACCCCTTGTCTGCTCCAAAGTACCTCTGATAATGCCTCTTCCTTCCTCCTTTCTTCCTTTCTTTCCTCCTTTCTTTCTGTTGTTTTTTTTTGTTGTTTGTTTGTTTTGCTTTTTGACACAAGATCTCTACATAGTCCTGGCTATCCTGGAAATCATTGTGTAGCCCAGGCTGGCCTTGAACTCAGAAAGCCACCTGCCTCTGCCTCTACCTCTGCCTCCAGAGTGCTGGGAGTAAAGGTGTTCACTACCATCCCCGGACCCTGTTTTGGCCTCTTAGGTGCCCTGATTTGTAGGCATGTGACACCAAGCTTGGTGGACCCCTTTCTTAACATATAAAGCAAACAGAAAATTTCGATTACTCTGCTTCATTGCAGGTGGCTATGACTTAGGATTGCTTTTTCCCGACCTCCATCAGTGACCCGTCGTGGACCCATCCAGTTGGGAACTCAAATCCTTTCTCACAGAAGGAAATGGTGAACCTCATTGTGTAAAAGTCACCCTGGTTCTTTAAAATATGGGAGCTCTGCTTCTTAGTTTTTATTGTCAATCTGACACAACCTAGATTCAAGTCATGTGAGATGAGTAGACCTCAGCTGAGGAATCGCCTGGTCAGACTGGCCTGGGAACATTTTCTTGCCAGCTAATTGATGTAGGAGGGTCCAGCTGCTGCACCCTCCCTAAGCAGGTAGTCCTGGGTTGTGTAAGCAAGCCAGCCCAGCGTGAGCCAGTGAGTGAGTCAGTAAGCCATCTTCTTCCACACTTTTCTGCTTGACTTCCTGCCCTGACTTCCCTCAGTGGCCCAGGGACATGGAAGTGTAAGTTTGACTAAACTCTTCCCTCTGCTAAGTTGTTTTGGCTAATGGTTTTTATCATGCACTCTAGACCTGACATACCTACCATGAGTCAAAGGAAATGTAAATATTCGGTCATGCTGGAGTGTGTGTGTGTGTGTGTGTGTGTGTGTGCGTTCAATCCCTCCTCCCCCCACAGACCAATGATTGACTGTGGCCTCCTCTTGAAACCATGACCTATCAAAGGCATCCTCCCAGAAATCTGAATCTATCAGGATTTCTTCCATTTCCTGCCCAGAAGTAGTTCCATCATTTCTATGATTTAGAAGTGTTTGCAGTTAATAATTTCTTCATGCTAAATATAGCCAATAAATGATACAATTATAAATGCCATGATTTTCAGTCTATAGATGACACAGGCAAGACTAGCAGTGATTAGCTCTGGGAAGCAGAAGGTTTATTCTCCTTAATAAGTACAGTGGATTCAATAGCTAATCTTTTTTAAAAGATTTATTTACTTTTATGTGTATGGATGTTTTGCATATGTACATGAGCATGTGTGTGTGTGTGCGTGCGCGAGTGTGCATACCACATGTAAGATCAGAAGAGAGGAACAGATTCCATGGAACTAGGTGTATATAGACAATTGTGAACTGTCATGTGGGTGCTGGGAATAGAACCTAGGTCCTCTGCAAGAGCAGCAAGTGTTCTTAACCACTGAGCCACCTCTCTACCCTCCAATAACCACGTCTTTTCCATGTATAACTGACCTTAATGTCATTTCACAATTGTGTGATTGAATGCAAACATCTAGAGAGAACAGCAACTGGACTTTGGCCTTCTTGGTATCACTGTAAATGACAACTGAGGATATTTGCACAGGTTTTGGAAGTGAGTATTATCCTCACCCAACCAGGTTAGAGCAGAGAAATGGCCCCAGAAGGCCTTGTTGAGAGGACAATTACTTCTTCAGCACTGCACAGAGTAGCAGGAGTGACCAGACCATTCTTTGGTACACGAAGTTCTGAGTCCATGCTGTGCCCCTTCCTTGCATGACATAGTATGTCTCGTACCGTAGCAAAAATAATAGGTCTATTCTTTCACAGTTATGTTCTTTGTTAGCGTTGGTTCCACTAGACAAATCATGCGGCTAGCACAGGCCACTGTGAGCAGCTACTGAATTTTTTTTCTTTTTTCGGCCTGTGCATTTACTCAGGCTTCTCCAGCAAATGGAAATGATATCCACAAATTCCCTGTGGCTTCTTTGTGGGTTCCTGGGTACAATAACTGTGAGCCCCTTCAGTGCCAGAATTTGATACATATTTGTTAAGAAAATCCTTGTCTCCCATTGCTATGGTTTTCCCTAACCATGGTAGATAGAGATTAAAATGCTGTAAGAGGTACCCAAAGTTCAAGACTGATTTGCACATTCATCTTCTCATTCCCATTTCCTGGAGACACAGGCTGTAAATACTGATGACAGGTGGACCATGGACTCCAGCTGAAAAATTGCTACCGCCTCTCCCATAATGCCGCTAGTTTCACACCTTAAATTTTATCTAGACCATAGTACTTAACCCCAGATACTTGTGAAGTCCCAGTCCTGAAAAGGGGGCTTTCTACAAACTTTATTTTTTTTAACACGAAAAGGATGTAACAGAACCAATCAAAACATGTCTGATTCCTCTTTATTTAAAACATGGTTTCAAAAGCTCTTCTCGACACTGCTTTTATTCCAGTATAAATCACTTAATTGCATCCCATTTGATGCTGCACGCTTTCAAGGAAAACAAAAGACATTCTAAAGTATAGACTTCAATTTATTTGGACCCAGTATCTTTCAAAAGAAATAATGGCTGGGTCTGACTCACAAGAAAATCCTTGGAAAGGCACTTGGTACTTTTGAGTGCTCTCCTAACATTCGTTTTGAGTTTAATCTGCTTTGAAAATAGGAATCAAGGAAAAGTTTCTCCGGGGCTATGTGGAGATGGATTAGTTGCTGGGGTCTGGTCCAGTAAGCAAAATTTGCACCCTAAGTGAGTTGTGATTTTTTTTTTGTTTTGTTTTGTTTTGCACTGAAACAAGGGCATGTAAGTGGGAGGGGCATAGATACAGCATAGGATGGAATAGCTGAACAGTGCCAGCCCAGGGAGGGGCTCACCTTTGCCTCTGGCGACTCAGGAAGGCTGTAACATGTCTGTAGGCACAGTATACCAATAACCATTCTACTTCTAGAAATAGATCATGGTGGTCCTGTGAACAGTAATGTGTCCAAAAGTTTAAGACATAAAAAAGGCAAGAAAAATGCCTTGTCTTGAAGTGCCAAGTTCATTTGGTTCCAGGAACCTGGAGATTTCATAATAAAAAAAATGGAGTAGAAGCCAGAAATGAAGCAATGGCAATTTCTTTTTAGACAAAGCCTTGGCGCAAGTCATTCCATCCATGTATCCTATTCAGGCTTAGTTCTGTTCTGTTGTTATTCTGGCTGTTGAGTCCCAAGATAGCCTATGGTAGATGACAAATAACTCTTGCTACTCTAATGTATATCAAAATACAGTAGTTCTAAGATCATTAGCAGTATGTATCTTTTTTAAAACAAGCTTTCATTTAATTAGTAAAGTAATTCTGATATCAAAATAATTTCATTTAGTAAAAATTGTTGAGTAGTGAAAATATGCTGTATCACTGTGTATGCATACTTTGAAGTAACATTAATTTGGTTCTAATTTCCATGCCATTCTCATTCAAGCTTAAAAGGATAAATCAGCTGTCCTAAATACTTTAACAATTATGACAAGCATTTATAAGAAGCAGCAGTGTGAGTTTTCTGCTTGCTTAGTAGGCATCTGCACCAATAACCTCACAACATATACATTAGCCTAAAACAATGACCCTGGTTATGTTTACCTGTAATTGAAATTTAGCATTTACTTTCCTAGTTTACTGCAGTTAGGAATAGATCTGATTGGGCATATTTTCGGTTAGATATAATTGTCTAAAGTAGGATCACTTCTTTCTGTTTCTTTGAACTTCTAAAGTCAGAGGCTCCCTAAAAATTCTACTAACCAGGTGAATGGCCATGTGATTAAAAGCTTAGGCAATGTCAGTAATATTCACATAATTTTATTTTCTTAACCAAAAACAACTCCCAAAAGTGCATACTAGTTGTCTTGAGTTTTTTTTTTTCTTGTGAGTCTTACATTGCTCACCCCATCCAAACACCTGTGCATGTCAAAGCATGATAGCATACACCTTTAGTCCCAGTGCTTGGGAGGCAGAGGAGATGAGTTTCTGAGTTCCAGATCAGCCAGGGCCACAGAGCGAGACCCTGTCAGAACAACAAAACAAAAAGCAAAAATAAACAAAGCACAAAACTAAAATCTGTGGGCAGATAATGAACCCAAATTACGTAACATAGAAAATATTTGGGTAGACACATACTGTGAGTTTTTAAATGCACGTTACAGAAGTCTTTAGGATGAAAAGGCTTATGAGCCATGTCTTCACAGTGTTCCCTTAAAATAGTATCTTCTTTGCCAATGTGAGTAGCCAAAATGTGGGAAACCCAAATGAGGGAAGCTAATTGGAGGGTCGTTCCCAGTTTACGTGGGTTTTATGAGCAATTCATTCATGAGCGCGCGTGTCTGGTCCGCTCCATGGCTGGATTCTCCGTGTCATGACTCAAAGCTCCACGATTTCTGTCTCGCAGATGACACAGGGTGTCCCAGCAGCCAGTCGGTATCCCCAGTGAAGACTCCCTCAGACACGGGGCACAGTCCCATCGGCTTTTGCCCTGGGAGTGATGAAGACTTTACCAGGAAGAAATGCAGGACTGGAACGGTTCCCGAGGGAAGTGTCCAGTCAGCTCGTTATAAGAAGGAACCAAAGGGAGGTGCCATAAAGCCAGGTAAGTGACATTACTCTTTACAATCTTAAAATGATTTCTTTTATTTCTCAGACTATAATTATATCATCCCTCCTTTCCAGTTCCATGCCCCACACTCTCCCATAAGCTCCTCTTTGCTCTCTTGCAAACTCAAGGCCTCATTTTCCTCCATTAATTGTTGTTGCATGCATGTATGTATCTATATACATGTATATGTCTAACTACAGAAATACCACCTGCTCGGTCTCTATAATATGTATGTATGTTTTGGGGAATAGGCATTTTGTATAGAGTAACAAATTGGCATGTTCTTTCTTAAGGGAGACAGAGTGTAGTAAGAGAGATTTCCATTGGAAATGTGCCTGTCAAATCAGAAATAACTCTGATACTCAGCACCCAGAAACACGTTTAAAAGAAACATTTTTAAGCTGGGCGTTAGTGGCTCATGCCTTTAATCCCAGCACTCAGGAGGCAGAGGCAGGTGGATCTCTGTGAGTTTGAGGCCAGCCTGGTCTACAGAGCGAGTTCCAGGACAGCCTCCAAAGCAATACAGAGAAACCCTGTTTCGAAAGACAAAAAAAAAAAAAAAAAAAAAAGAGGTAGCATATAGAGTATTTAATGCAATAGTTGTGAGAAATTAAGTATAGTGACATATCCATCTATCATAGACAGGCTTTTTTGTTTATTTTTAAGAAAACAAGTTGGAAATATATTATATATATATAAACGTTTTAACAGACATTTGAGCTCTATAATCAATTCTAACCTGTATTATGAATAAATTATAAAATGTGGCAATACATGTGAAGGGAGATTCTTATCTTGATGCCAGTACCTATAGCTAGGCATAATCACTAAGTTGGCTAGTATATTTTCTTTTAGCGATTTAAAGTTTGACAGGCTTACATGTAGATGCATCTACCCCTTCAAAAGTTACAGAATATTAGATGCTGTTAGACGACATGCAGATAGTTATTGCAAAGATGGACAAGCTGTGCACTTAGAAAGAAAGGTAAATTCTCGGAGCCTGCAATTTGTGAATTCTGTATCTCAGAAATATAAACAATTGTAGCATTAGAAAAAATACTCCTATGACATAAGATTTAACATCCATGGTTATGCTACACAGACAGACATACACAGATACACATATGCACAGACACAGACATACAGAGACACACAGACACACACACACACACACACACACACACACACACAGAGTGGACAGGACTCCACTTAGCTAACCTAATCAAAAGAATCACTCCCAGACAGGCCTAGCATCTCAAGTAGTTCTAGATCTCATTAAGAACTGAGAGTCACCATTGTAGAGACAGTGTGGGAATATCTTAAGTCTATTTAAATTGTATAGTTTAGTTGCTTTCGCTCTGCCTAACGGCTGCGCAGGTATCACACTATCTTTATCCAAAAATGTTTTATTACCACAGAAGGAAACCTTGAGTCTTTAGCAGCTGCTCGGAGTCCTCCCCAGAGTGATGCCTGGCACCTACTCTCTGTGGATTTGTATCTGCCCATAATGAAATCATACATGTGATCTTTCACGTATGCCTTTTTCATTCAGAAAAATGTCCTCAGGGCTCATCAGCGTAGCCTGTGCTGGTATTTTATTCTCTTTCATGGCTGGATAAAATTCCGTTTTGTGGAAATTCCCATTTTAGAGGAACATGTTTACAAGGCAGTTTTCCATTTACAAAACCTAAATGAGCGAACACTATTGAGAGCTTCCCCTGCCTCCAGCTTCCCCTCTGGTTACCCCTGCCCCAGCATGCTGCTGGACCCTGATAGCTCGTCCTTCCGTAATCTGATGAACGTTTTCTGTCTATGCTTTAACTGTTATGATAATGGTGCCATGAATTTTTGTATGCATGTTTATGTGGGAACATGTCTTCAGTTCTTTCAGATATGTAGTTAAGCCTAAAAAAATGCTAGGTCATGTGGTAACTCCATGCTAACTTTTTAATGACCTACCAGATTTGTTTCCAACATGGCTGAACTATTTGCCTTTCCTGCCACCAATGCATGAGGGTTCTAGTAACATAGGTTGTAGATTATCTGTATTTAAAAACAAGTCTTTTTTTTTTTCTTTTTGGTCTTGGTCTATCATGTGTCGTTACAACAGAATACCTGAGAAGGGGTATTTATTACTTATGGTTGGGGAGGGGATTCAGTGTGAAGACACTTCCTCTTGCTTGGGCCTTCAGGCTGGGTTATGTTATGTTAGAGGTTAGCACATGCAGAAGTTGGGTAATACATCTCAGGTCTCTCTCATCTCTTCCTTGTAGCCAGCATCAGATTGTTTCTGTACCTACAGTCCGTTAAATAATGATCACGTGTACCAAGTATCCAGTACTGTTTCAGCATCTTCGTGAATCTGGTTTCTTAAGTGGCGGGAATCCTAATTTAATGACCCTTGCCCAAAGGTGACTCTGCAAACAAAACTCCTGTCCACTACTTTTGATTTCATTCTTCATAGGCATAAAAACCACCTAAGCAACCTTTTCTTGATCTCTGTACTTGTGTTAAAGGAATCCTTAAATGTCCTGAGTCAACAAAAATTTCAAACGTTGTCCTTGAAAGAGTCCCTGCTGCTTTTGAACGGAACCCACTGGTGTACAGTAAATTCCTTCTTTGAGAAAAATCTGCAGGGTGTGGCCTACAAGGTCTCTGAACTTGTGGCTGAGTCAATCTGCCCAACTCATGAACAGAGAGAGAGGAAATGCAGGAAGCAAGGCCCTTGGATGACTCCTCCAATTTATATAACGCAAAGACAGTTGGCTAAAGCACCAGAAGGTTCTGCTCTCTCAGGTTAAAACCATCTTCTTCTCCGGAGTCCCACTGGACCCTTTGCCAATGCTGGTCTGCAGCCCTAGATGTATGATCTACTTTTTTTTTAAGGCAATTCATTAAAACCAATACCAATTTATTAAAATAGCAAGCAATTAGTGGCTGTTACTTGGGGCCTCCGGGACTCCTTAAGATTAAGTAACCAACACCTATCTAATTTTAGGTCCACTGCTCTAGATTTGGGAACACTACTGTCCCTACCACAGAAAGTAGTCATTGAAATGTCAGTGGCATCAAGAACAAGCAATGCCTCCTGGGCCTTGTGATGTAGACCAAGCCGAGAAACATGCCAGGGGATACAGGAAGGGCTTGGAAGGGAAATATAGCAAGCCTGCTCTTTTCCAACAGAGTCCTGAGCTACCCCCAGCAGGAAAACCCTTCCTACCAGGCAGAAGCTCCTTCTGGAAACTTCTGGGAGGCCATCTGTCATGTTGGCTTCTGTTGCTTACTAACTATGCAGATTTAATTAAAAGTCGTATCAAAGAGTGGAAGCAAAGCATTCCTATAGTGCTGTTGGATGATGCCGCTGTTGCTCTCTCCAGTTTTTCTTTTATTCCCATTTTGGCAAACCGTTGGAGGACATATCCATGTTTGTCATGAGCTGAGTGTCCAGTGGACACTCCAATGGGAAATAGACTGTGCTCTTTGTACAATGAGTTCAGTGTGAGGAGAGCGGTGAGGGTGAGGAGCACGTGTGACCCCATTTTGAGGGAGTGTGTAATTCAAGACAGAGCGCGGGATGATGAATCTGGGTGATAACACAGATCAAAAGAAAGGGATGGAAGCCTTCCTCCCTGGTGGCTTTCTGAGGAACCGGGTGATCGCAACCTTACACACACACACAACAGAGACTGACAGACATATACACACAAACACACACAGACATGTACACACAGACAGCAAACACAGACACACACGCATGCACACACACAGACACACAGACATACAGATACATACAGATACATTCTCTCTCTCTCTCTCTCTCTCTCTCTCTCTCTCTCTCTCTCTCTCTCTCTCTCTCTCTCTCTCCCCCCTGTATGCAGTGTGTGCTATCAGGATGCAAAACTACTTTACCCAGAAGTAAGAGCCCTAACTGGTTTGTTGCAAGTTTATTAAAATATTCCAGAGCTGCTTGTAGTTGCCGGTTCATTACTTGGAGAATATATCTGAGCCTGGGAAAGAGAAGGGTCCACTGTCATTATTTCTAAACCGAGGTACTAAAACCTTTGTCCACAGATCTGCTTGAAAGGTGTTGGGGGGTTGGGGGGTGGTGTGACACAACTTAAACAGACGGGAATGGTGAGAGGAGAAACCATGAGAGGCAGTTGAGGGAGTCAGCAAAGAGTCAGTGGTCAGAAATACTAGAATGGGACAGAAAGGCAACCACCCAGAAACTGAAATGTTGAAATCTGCATTTGAAAGATGTCACTCTACCTCCTTAGCCTGTCACCTGATACCACCAGCTATTGAAATTAGAGACCTGGCTGGCTGAACTATAATAACCTCAAAACAACGGCCTGGGATTGGTTACTTCTAGAAAAAAAAAAAAGCGTTCTGCATCCCAAGAAGCATTTGCTAGAAAACCCAGGAGGTACCAACTAGGTTAGTGATTCTGGCAGCCCCAGTTCCTGTCATAGAACCCTTTGCACGATTCGGGCCCGGATGTGTTTGCTGCTGCTGCTTCTACTTCAGAGTTCTGGGAGCAAAAATGACAGCTTGGCTGCTCACTCTTACACACCTCAGCTGCCAGAGCACCAGCCTCAGGCTCCAGAGTTGGCACACCGGGTGCAGATCTTTCCCGGGGCTCCTTTGGAATTGGAATCCCTTTCCCTAAGTAGCCCAGGTGGGCTTTGAACTGAAAACTGTCCTTTTGCTTAGCCTCCCAGGTGCTGAGATTCCAAGCGTTAGTGGTTTATAACTGCTCTCTTTTTTTTTATTTAAGTAGATTTTTTTTCATGCAGTATAACATGACTTACAGTTCCCTCCCCCAACTCCTCCCAGATCCTCCCCTGAACAAGAAAAACAGCCAGAAGTGCACAAGAAACACACGTAGATGCAGACATACACACGTTTGTGCACACAGGAATCCCATAAAAACACAAAACCAACTGGAAACCAAAGCATGTGCATAAAAGACCTGTAAAGACAAAAGACAAACA